TACGTTACATTAATAATTTAGGTGAATAAAGAAAATAATAAAAGAAAAAAACAAGAATATATTAAGTGATTTCACTTATAAAAAAAGATTATAGCTCTTCTTAGAAGATTTGTGTTTGAGTCGTATGATGTGTAAAAGTTATCAATAATTAATTTTTTTAAATAAATACTATCTTATAATTATTCAAAAATTAGAAGACTACTTTGATATTATTTATTATACTCTTTATAATACAATATTCTAAAATATTTATACATACACGTAGTAGTAATCTAATATAGATGCTGATGACATCATTTTTAGGTATGGGTACCCCACGATTGTAAGGTAATGTCTTTGTAGGACAGCCCACTTTCTAATAGATGAATAAACAAACAAATAAATCACGTGTACATTAACTATGCTGTCTCATATTTTAGGTACCATGAAAGCTCTACGAACATAACAAAAATCGTAAGCGGAGCTTGTAATAGCAAAAAGTGTATATATATATATATAAAATTGAATAGGAGTATTTATAATATTAGGATGAGTCTATTAGTAAATGTCATTTATCGATGTCTGCCACTAATACTAAATATCGATATATACTACTATTTTTTATGTTTTAAAAAGTTGAGGGATTTAAGCTGTAATTAACCCTTTTCAAGATAGAATTTCAAGAATGGTGGGATTTTAACTTCCGTTCTGTTTTTCATCTATTTTGAATTTTAAATATTTTTAAATCAAAAATATTATTTGGATAATTTTTTAATAATAATAATAATTTAAATTAATTTAATTTAATAATAATGGTGGGATTTAAGTTGCAATTTACTCCTATGTTCTATCCCTTTCCGGCCTTATATACTTCACAGCGAAAATCCGATCAAGATGGAAACAAGTGGCTCGTGTGTTTAATGCTTGGCTTGGGCAAAGGCGAACGACGTCGGGGTTGGCAAGAAGATAAACGACCTCGGAATTAGTGAGAAGACGAGCAGCGTCGGCAGTTGATCATCGAAGGCAAGGTTGGTTGAAAAACAAAAAGAAAAGTTAGTTTTAAAAATATAGAAATCCTTCAACCACGGCCCACTATTAATTTATATTATTTTTAAATTAAATTAATAATTAAAATTTATCTAAACACTATTTTTTATTCAAATAATATTTAAATTCAAAGCAGATAGAAAACCGTACGGCAATTAAAATCTCACCATGTAACAGAGATATGAAACCCTCTGAAGCCTCCAGCGCCGACCCCAGACTTCCCAAAAAACAACGGCGAAGAGATGAAGACCCGCCCAATCCTTCCACCATGGCAAGAGATGGTGTCGCTTCTCTGATGGAGTGCGACGGCTCCTCACCTGCTGTCTCTTACAAGGATGTTGTGACGAAATCCACTGCTGCTCAACCAGATTCTAAAACCGTTGATCTAGAAGATGATGATATTGAACTACTCGAAGAGGATATCACCCTTGGCTCCTCTAACGGCATTCCAACCATCGATTTTTCAGAATGTGTTCAATCTCTTGCCGTAAAAAGCATGGATTTAACGCTCGTAGTTAAAGTTCTTGGACGAAGTGTGGGTTATAATACCCTGCACAATCGCATATACGGTATCTGGAAACCTTCTTACCCTCTCAAACTTATTGATATTGAGAACGATTATTTTCTTGTGAAGTTCAGTGATCATGGTGACTGCCTAAAGGTGCTCACGGAAGGACCTTGAACTATTTTCAGACATTATCTAACAGTTGAGCCATTGTCTATTAACTTTCAGCCTAACCAGGACTATCCTAGCCGCCTCATGGCATGGATTCGATTACCGGTCTTTCAGTAACCCTTTACAAAAGAAGTTTCATTGAAGCTATTGGAAACCAGGTTGGCTCAGTGATAAAGATTGATTTTCAAACGGATAATGGTTGCAGGGGGCGATTTGCACGCCTAGCTGTTAGCCTCAATCTTTATTGGCCTTTGGTATCGAAAATACTCATCAATGGTCGCCTCCAAATTATAGAGTATGAATCGCTTCCCACTGTTTGCTTCCATTATGGCATCTATGGTCACCATAAAGACCTTTTTTCGCAACTACCAACACAGGGAGATGTTCAACCAATGACCGAGATTCCTCCACGTTAGCCTCAGACTACTAAAAACTCAGTTTCAGATGAAGCTTTCGGGCCATGGATACTCGTGGAAAGAAAAATGTGTAATTCCAGAATGTTAATTCTACAAAACAATCAGTTCATGATTCCACCCCATCATAGCAAAATCAAAATCCCATTATTGAAGATGTCCCTAATAATATAGAAAATTGATCAAAATCTAGAGTGATTGAAGTGGAATCCACGGTGCCATCATTAGCATCGCCTTCAAATCCCGAAACTAGATCGTTGACTGAACCAAAGAGTATTCTTCTGGATAAACACAAAGCAAAGGATAAGGCTCCAACAAATTCAAATAAAGCCCCAGTTGTCCCCTACGCCCCCAAGAAGCAAACTCACCTTGGAGGTAACCCCGTAAACTACATGCATTAAATAAAAACCCCATACAAGGAACACATAAAGCAGCTAATGGAGCTTCCTCCTCCAATTTGCCACGATTAAGCTCGGCTGAGAATCTCGACCCTAACAAGCATCATGCTGTGAAGCTAATAGATGGAGACAATCCCCGCATCCCAACTGAAGCTTTAGTTCCTCCTGCAACTAGCAAAGGCCCCGAGGCCATGATGGAATAGTCGGCTCTTCTGCCTTCTCTCTTCATATTTTACTTTACTTATGTATCTCAACATATTTATGTGGAATGCACAAGGCTGTGGCCACCGAAATTTTAATCGTGTTGCTCGAAAATATTTGCGAGATCATTCACGAATGTTGTAGGCTTTGTTGAAACCTGTATAAGCAGTCATGCGGCTGATAAAGCTATTGCTCAACTCAAAATTTCGAACTCTTTTAGAGTAGAAGTAGAAGCTGATGGTTTTCTGAGGTATTTGGATCTGTTGGTATGATCGCATTCAAGTAGATGTTCTATTCAGTCATTTTCAATTTGTCCACTCGGATCTACTGTAAGTCCAACAATCGTTCCGCTCTTGCTACCTTTGTTTATGTTAGTACGAATCCTGCTAAAAGAAGAGCTCTTTGGAAGTACCTTTACTTGCTCTCCAATCATATTAACGAGCCTTAGGTTGTCTTAGGCGATTTCAATGTCGCATTGTCTCTAATGATCGTAAAGGTTGTGTTAACAACCCATCATCGGACCACGACTTTAGTAAAGTTGTTTTTTATTCAAGTCTCCATGATCTTGGATATCAAGGACCAGACTTTACTTGGTATAAGGTCCTTGTGCAGTTCGCCTCGATCGATGTTTATGCAATGATAAATGGTTGGTCGCATATCCTGACACATTGGTTTACCATCTCCTTAGAATGAAGTATGACCATAGACCTCTCTTATTATCTATTGGCAAAAACCCCAATAAGCGACAGCAAGGTCAATTCTGTTACTTTGCCGGATGGACCGTCCACAATCATTTTCGTAAACTTGTACTTGATAATTGGGACCCTTCACTCCCAATTACTCATTCTATCTCCAAGTTCAGTAATACTGCAAAAATATGGAATCACTACACTTTTGGACAACTTTCTCATCGCAAACGCACTGTTATGGGGCGACTTAGGGGCATTCAACGATATCTTGATAAAAAAACATAGTGTTTATCTCTCGAGACTTGAGACTAAACTTCAATCGGACCTTGAATTAATCCTTGATCAGGAAGAGCTCTTATGGAAGCAAAATCTCGCTCGTATTAGATAACATTTGGTGACATGAACACAACTTACTTCCATAAAAAAGCTATTATAAACAGGAGGACTAATAGGATCTATGCTCTTCAAATTTCCACCGGAGATTGGTGCTCAGACATAAATGTTCTTCGGCAAGAAGCCAGTTCATACTACCAGAATTTATTTTCGATTCGTGAGGAGGTACACGATACCTATCCCATCTTGGGGTTTTTTCCACCCTACCTCCTGAATTCATACAAAATTTAGACATTCTGCCAAATCCCATAGAAATCAAGGAGGCGTTATTCGATATGGCTCCACTCAAATCTCCAGGAGCATATGGATTGCACGTTCTATCAACAACATTGGGACATTGTTGGCACGTCGGTTTGCTCGACGGTCCAAAACATATTCAATGGTAATAACATTGATCCTCTTCTGAACAAAACAATTCTAGCCATCATCCCAAAAATCCCAAGTCCTTCAAGCTTCAAGGACTTTCGACCTATCAGCCTTTGTATGGTATTATACAAGTTGGTCACTAAGATCATTGTCAAACACCTCCAGCAAATTATGTCTCGACTTGTTGCGCCTAACCAAACAAGTTTCATTCAAGGACGTAGCATCTCGGAGAAATTTATTAATCAAGAGGTCATTCACTCCATGAAATCAAAAAAAAAGGACAAGGATGGTTGGATGGCGATTAAGATGGATCATGAAAAAACTTTTGATCGTCTGCGCTGGGACTTTATAGCCGACACTCTTTATGAAGCATGCTTTCCACCAGCAATTACACGACTCATCTTGCATTGTATTTCATCTTCTTCTATGCAGGTTCAATTTAACGGAGGCCTTAGCAATGATTTTAAACCACAATGTGGAGTTCGGCAAGGAGATCCAATCTTTCCTTACCTTTTTGTTCTTACCATGGAAAGGCTTGGACATCGTATCCACCTTGCTTCTGAGAAGGGCGATTGAAAACCTTTTAAGCTAATTCATGGGGGTGTTCCCATACTCATTTATTTTTTGCAGATGACTTAGTATTGTATGCCAAAGCAACTGTAGCACAAGCAATCTAATCAATAATATCCTGGAGGAATTTGGTCACTACTCGGGCCACAAAGTCAACTAGCTTAAATCTCATGTGTACTTCTCGCCCAATACAAGCGCAGAAACAACAAATGCAGTATGTTCTCATCTCGGCATCAAGCAAGTTCCTAACTTGGGTGTCTATCTCGGAATGCCGGTGATGCACAAGCGTGCTACCTGTGAATTTTATAGCTTCATCATTGACAAAATAAAATCAAAGCTTCATGGGTGGTCGGTTAGAACCCTATCTTTTACGATACGGATCACTCTTGCTAACTCAGTGCTCATGGTTATCCCTACTTATTTCATGCAAACTTGTCGCTTCCCCTCTCATGTCTGTCAAGACATTGAAAAGCTTGTTCGAAAATTTATATGGAGCTCTAGTAATCAAACTCGAGGTATTTCTCTCGTTAGTTGGGACACCTTAACTCAACCTAGACACAATGGGGGCCTCGGCGTTCGGAGATTACAACAACATAATGATGCCTTCCACATGAAACTTTGTTATGCCATCGTTTCGAATATAGAGAATTATTGAATAAGGCTTCTTAGGCAAAAATATAAGGTGCTCTCTAATTATCCCTCCTCCATATTCCGACCGAGCTGCTCTCATCTGTGGAGTTCCTTATCTAAAGTCTGGAATATGTTCTACAGCTTCTTATCTTGGTCTATAGGCGATGAAACTACAACAAGATTTTGGCACGACAATTGGTTGCCGAAACTTGGGTGTCTTTCAGAATGGAAACAAGAGCATATTACTGTTGAAGATAATATGATGGTCCGTGATGCTGCCCTGCCGAATGGCAACTGGAACTGGAATATGCTTCGACAGTTTCTCCAACCCTCCATGATACAACATCTGTTGAATGTTCAACCGCCTAATCTGAATGCTGGTACTGATCGTTGTTGCTGGTCACTGGGCAAACATTGTGAGTTCATAGTATAATCTGCCTATGAGCTTCTAACCAAGGATCTTTGGGACCCCAAAGATATCAAATGGACTACACTTTGGCGCATGACTATCCCGGAGCGCATAAAATATTTCCTATGGCTTTCTTATAAAGACTGCTTGCTTACAAACATTAATCGTTGTGCAAGGAAACTTACAGATGATCTTTTATTTCATATATGTGGCTTAGCTAATGAAAATACACTGCATGTTCTACGTGACTGCAAACACTCCGCAACTCTTTGGCAACTGATTATCCGGCAGCAAATCCTACCGAACTTCTTCAACACTAACGTCTCTGATTGGATCACAATGAACCTAGACTCAAATAGTCTTTTTGCTGGCACAAACATCCCATGGAAAATCCTTTTATCTTCTATAGCATGGCAGATCTGGAAGCGAAGGAATTCTTACATATTTTCAGACTTGTTCATCCATAATGACCAGCTCATCTCCCTAAGCAAAAATTGGTCCCTGTATATCATTGCAGAAAAGTCCATTTCCCCAACTGGTTCTGGTGCTGCTCGTCCAGAACTTATACAATGGAAGCCCATGCCTACATATTGGTACACTCTTAACACAGATGGAGCGGTATATAAAATCGCCTCCCAAGGATCGGTGGGTGGCCTCATTCGAAATATGAATGGTGATTGGATCATTGGTTTTAATAAATCGGTTGGAATCTCAACTCCATTCCAAGCCGAACTTTGGGGGTTTTTTGAAGTACTTAAATTGGCACTATCCCACAATATTGAACATCTCCAATGCCAAACAAACAACGTTGAAGCTCTTAATCTCGTGTCTTCGGCAATGGCTAAATGCAGCCCAATTTCTATTGTTCGCTCTATTGCAAAACTCATATTAAAACAATGGACGATCGAATTCATTCTTATTCGCCGTGAAGTTAATGCTGCATCAGACTTCCTTGCGAAATCTACCGTTATTTCAAATGAACAAGCTCAGACCTATACTGAACCGCCCCATGAGATTAAATCACTTCTTCACCGTGACCTCTATGGTCATGCTTTCCTTCGCACTTAGTATTTCATTGTAATAGTCTTCCTTACAATTCAAAAAAAATCCCACCATTATTGAAATTTGTCTTGAAAAGGGTTTTTTTTCTCGACAAATAAAATTTATTAATAATTTACCAAACTTAAGTTAGTGTCTCATTAAAAACCTCCCTAATCTAGATGGAGGAAAAGGGTACTCAAAACTAGGTACAAGGAACAAAAACAACCTGGTGTTAACAAAACCATTACAACGAGAAGTCAAAACCAAATACCAGCCAATCTGTTTACCCTTACAGTACTAAAGAGAATCTAACAATAATACTACAACACCACGTCTAGGAGGGTTCCTACATTAATACTCAAGGTGTGATCTTCTACAAACCACCTTACCAGAGAATCACTTCCCGACTTAGAATTAAACACAACAATAAATAAAATGTAGCAACAAAACAATGCAAACAACGACGATCTCTAACCCCTCAAGACACAAGAACCCAATCACCTGATTGCACAGACTCCTTGAAAACAACTCGACTACCCACCAATTCCCCAAGGTTCCTACAACCTAGCTGAAGGAAGACTGTAACCTACCGCACCAACCACAATAACCAAGAGCGCATTAGTCCATATGGACATCACGAAACAACCAAGCCTACCACTAAACAACATCAGTAACCAAGTAAAACGAGAACAATCACCATAACGTTATCACATCATAATAACAATAACTTCCCACCTTTCAACCTAGGAATATTGAGACGGTCTAAAAAACCCAACAAAAGTATCTCACCAATGCCAAGAACTCAAAGACGGGATACTAACCATATCAACACCACTTGGGAATCTGTCTCAACTTCTTTATCTTGAAACTTGAAAAGGGTTATGCAATTCACCTTGAAAAAAGGCTCATTTAGCAACCAATTTTTATCAAAGACGAGGCATTCGAATGGAGTGTATAACAACTCCAAAAATTTATAACTTCCAACACCATATATGCATTCGAACAATAAAAAATGTTAACATTATTCCCCAAGAATCACCAAACTTTCACCTACACGCTGCTATGACTTCAAAAGAAAAGCAACATCAACCCTTTAAAACCAGTTACAACAATGGCTACATGAACCACTAATCCCCTATAAAACCACCTGCTTCAACTTTGCTTACTCCGAAGCAGCTAACAATCCAAAACCAACTTCATCGATGGTTACAAGAACCATTAATCCCCACAAAATCGACCCACCTCAACTTCGCATACTGAATTTTATGTGAATTTCCATGCGCTTCCGACAAATCTTAATTCCTGAATTAAGAGGCGATATCCATCCAAAATTGACAAAAGCCAGACTCGTCTAAAGTCTCATCTTCACACTCATGCGCAAAAATATCACAACTCTAAATTACTACAAAAACAAGCAGCAAACAATAGACTTTCCTCCCACATAAAGGCGTCTAACAAACCTATAAAGAATTATCATCACAAAACTACTAACTGCCAGCGAACCCTAACACGATTCAACCCAACTTTAATTCATTTCTAACAATGCTAATTCCTTCACCACAGCTCCTCGCTGGATATTTGGAAACCTAGGTTTTTTCCCAAAGCCAAAGTTTCTTCAGATTCTTTATACGCAGCAAACCATCTACCTTTTAAATTTGAATCAGATAACGACCTTCCTGATAACTCTGAGGACTCCAAATCTTTTATCATCAATTTGAGTTCTTAAACGCTTGATCCCTTTTTCTTCTACTTGGAACCGACATAACTTGATCTTGTAGTTTCAAAAGAGATCCATACCTTTTCGATTTTTTGTTTTTTCTCAACTGCTCTACTTTTGGAAAGAATTTGTCCAAATCATCCGTCACAAAATCATACAGCCCCTTTATGTCCTTAAGGGCCCTCGATTTGTTATGTTCTACCAATTCTTTTTCGTTCTCCACTAGACCTACAAGTATGTCTTTATCTTTCGACTCAACTAAACCAGCAGCTGAAAATGAATTCTCACCAACCACTCCTTTTAGATTCCGCAAGTGATTCATAACATCATTAGTTGCAAGAGAATCTGAACCGCTACCCATATTGAAACCAACATCTCCATTTTTCAAGGCACTACTCTCGACATTCTTGCCAGCTTCTCGATTGTTTAAATGTGCTTCTAAAGAAAAGCTTTAACCTTCCCTATTGATCCTTCAACTCTTTTAGCATCAACTTCAAAAGGACAACCCGACTCCCCACCAGACTTGGAACGATTTTTGTAGTCAAGATTTTCAGTCGAAAGCCCATCTTCATAAACAATCATTTCTTCGACCCAACTTAAATCTAGCTCAGCCAACCCAATCTTGTCGACACTCTTTGACCTCTTTATTGATTCGCGATTTTCATCAGTACAAGAAGGATCCTGAGCCACCATAATAACTCATCCACCACTCAATTTTGATTCATTCAGAAGGCGTGTTTTCTCGGGTGAATGAAGGTCATCATTTCTATTGAATTCGTTCCCAAAACAACACGCAGTTAATGCAGCATCCCTCACCTCTTCAGTTCTCTCAACCTTAACCGAAGACGCGCCAGAGTTATCCTTTTCCGTGTCTTGAAAAGGGTTAATTGCAACTTAAATCCCTTTAATTTTTAAAACATAAAAGACGTTAGTGATGCACATCAATAAATGGCATTTATTGTAGAATTTTCCTACATATTAAACATATATATATATATATATATTAAGGTACATAATTATCCGTTTGTGTTCCTAACCTTGAGGGTTGTGATCTCATGTTGTTATCTAATCTTTTTAATAACATAAATTTTTTAAATTATTCTTATGATATTATTTAAAGTTAATCAATATAATAAATTTGGTCATTAAAGGATAATTTTATATTAAAATGGAGCATAGAGTTGTTTATTTGACGTGAAGGATCATTGATATGTAATCAGTAACAAATGAAAGCTTAAAATTTATTTATTTTTAAATTAGTGACTTGTTATATTGATATTGTCTACCTTAAAATTTTATTTGTGTCTATCCATATAAAAATTTTGTGTAATATATATGTATTAATCTTTAAAAATATTTTTAGATCTATTACTATTTGCGGTCATCCATCATGTGGTGGCTGAAGTAAGCAATGCTCATCATGTGTATGCAAAAGATTCACAAGTCAAATGCTAAACCCAATAAAAAATATGGAAAAAGGGAGTATAAAGATATTCATTTGACGTGAAGAAGCATTGGTCTGCAATCATGGTGGTGGCTGCAGTAACTCATGCTCATCATGTATATGCAAAAGGCAGTTGATCCGAATCTGAATTCACTTAATGATGCTGTTGTCTCCGACCAACTCCATTAAAAACTTTGGTTTATGCTTAGGTGTGTGCCTATGGCCAATAATATGCTGAAATTGACATAATAATCATTCAACCAAATTGGCTATTCCTTTTTTTTAACTCACTTCAGTGCGCCCCTAACAGGGAAACATCAGCATGACAACCCTTTTGTCTCTCTTACTTTACTTCTCAGTGTAATTACTTTCCCCCTTCATCTCTCCATCTATTTATACCCCCTTTTTTCTCCAATCAAAACAAGACATTGTAGTTTTCTAACCAAGGTGTGTTTTGTTTTCCGTTATGTCTCCGGCAGGGTCTAGTAGGTGGTGTCCGACACCGGAGCAAGTGATGATATTAGAAGAGATGTATAGGGGTGGGATTAAAACCCCGAAAGCATCTCAAATACAACAGATCACTTCACACCTCTCTTTCTATGGCAAGATAGAAGGCAAAAATGTGTTTTATTGGTTCCAAAACCATAAGGCCAGGGAGAGGCAGAAGCTTAGAAGGAAACTTAGCAAGCAACTTCAATTACAGCAACAACTTTATCATCACTACTTTGATTCTCTGCATTCTCCTTCTTTTCAACATCTTCCTTACTATAACTCACCCAGTCCTTTTCCACAGGTAAAATAACTGTTTATTTATATAATATTAAATAAATAATGTATTATTTATTGTTCCACTGTTTTTCGTTTTCATTTATTTCCCTTCCATTGTTAGTTAGACTATCAAACAAGAGTACCCTTTTCTCAACTTCACCTTTCCTAGCCTGTGACACCCTTTGGAAACAGTTAAAATTGTCCAATGGAGAGTACTGCTTATCTTACTATCTTGATTTTCATATCCATTTTCTTTCAATATTTCTCATATATGTATGTATAGAATAAGAAATGAGGATGGATATATGTAGGGTTTTCTTATATATGAATGTAAAGAAATGGAACTTGTGGTATTTTCTATATTGTTGTTTTAATTTATTTATTTTTACCATTGGTAACAGGTAGGGGTTCATGAGGGTGCAGCGAAAGCAGAAAAGCAGCAGATGATGAACTACACGTGGAAGTTGGATGTACCTAAAAGAGCAGACATTGATAAGTCTATGATGAACATGTACGGTGGTGATTGGTTGATGATGGTTGATTTGGGTCCCTCTTTATCATCATCACCGTGCTACTTCGCCACCACCAGACCTCCCCTTAAAACCCTCGAACTTTTCCCAGTCACAGCTTCCAGTCTCAAGGAAGAGTGCAACAACAGCTAAAGTAGGCTTAACTCTCCCTTAAATCACCAAAAAAGAAAACCTCTCTTTCTCCCTGTCTGATGCCTGTAACTTGTACTAACTAGGTTTTCATGTTTTTTTTATTGGATAAAATATGGATGTAATTCGGGTTTGTTTTTCTGTCTGGTTTTCTTGGCTTTCTGCAATGTGTCTGTTGTACTGCTACTACTGTTATATTTCATAAGCTTGTCTCTTGTGTATCTTAAAGCTGTCATACATGCAAACACAACATCAGTATTTGATGGACATCCATTCACATAGAAATCAGCTTTTTGTTTTTCATTTTTTTACTGGATTTGGATCCTTGAGACAATTCAATCCAATATTCATAAAAAATTCACGTAAAAAACCTTTTTTTCTTATGGAAATCCACCCCCTTCATTTTAAAATATTACACTCAAAACCTAGATCATTTAATGGAACAAAAGAAAAGAGAATTACATTATTAACTTTAAAGACTATATATAAGCAGACCACTAGGATTTATTATTATTGTAAGTCAAGAACTGGCAAAAACTATTTGACATAAAAGAATGAATGTATAGTTATATAAAAATTTTAGATATTATTTAAAAGGCATAATACTAAAATTAGCCCCCCAACATTTATTAAAATGGTTATTTTGACTCCTATTCTTTTTTTTGAAGTATTTTGAACCCAACGTTTCATTTTGAGACAAAAAATCCCTCAATTGATTAAAACAATTAGTTAACAAATGATTAACGCTATGAGATATGAGTTTTTTACCCTAAAATGAAATATGGGGGGGCAAAATGCTCCAAAATAAAAGAATAAGAGTTAAAATGACTATTTAGTTAAACATTAGGGACTTTTTGTCTTAAAATGAGACATTGAGGGTCAAAAAAATTAATTTGGTAAACATTAGGGAATAATTTTTACATTATTCCTATTTAAAATGTTTGAACCGAGACCCTTCTCTAAATTAAACTGCACCAAATGATATAAAGGATGAAAAGAAGAGAAAATTTTCTAAGGTGGGAGTTAATTTGTTAATGAGTTAATTATAAAAGTACCTTTATTCAATTAATTTTTAAAAATAAACCAAATATTTTTTATAATTCATGTTCGATAGTTAATTATATTCAACATTTTAATTTTTTTAGTTTATCAAACAACACCTCAAACTCTTATGTAGTAACTTTTTTTTTGAGTTCATAATATTTTCTACATAATTATAAATATATTATTAATGAGTCAATCTTAATTTAGTTTTTGTACTTTTAATAAATAATGGTTTTGATCAATATTGGTAAAGAAAATTTTCATTAACAATGTAAATAGTTATTATGACATGCATCAAATTCATATACTATTTATCAATTAATGGGAAGTTTACATAATAAAAAAGAGAAAAAATGGAGACAAACGTAATAATAAAAAGAACATGCATAAAATTAATGAGCATTCCAACTTTAGGGACAAAAGATGTAAGTCCAGCCGATATAATTTAATTACAACGTAAAAGAAAGCAAGCAACATAGTAAAAAACACACAATAATAATTATATTTATACGTGCAATGAACATTGCATTAAAATCTTAGCCCAAACTACATTTCAAACACTGTAGGCTGCACCATGCCCACTTGATTTCTTTTAACCCTTAAATATTTATTTTTATTATGGGTAAAGTACTCAAATGGTCTCCCGACTATAGGATATTAGTTTATTGAGTCACTCGATTATTAAAAGTTATAAAATGGTCGCCGACTATAGGGTGTTGCTTTGTTGAGTCCATCGACTATTAACAGTTATAAAATAGTCACCCGACTATATATTATGTCTCAAACTCGTCATTTTTCGTAAAAAAAAAACTAATGGCAGTCTGGGCTGGAAGTTAACCTGCTGACTAAGATATGATAAAATATGATCTCATAATCTTAAACACTATTATATGACAGTCAGCAGGTTAACTTCCAACCCAGTCTGCCATTAATTTTTTTTACGGAAAATGATGAGTTTGAGACATAATATATAGTCATGTGACTATTTTGCAACTGTTAATAGTCGAGGGACTCAACAAAGCAATACCCTATTGTCGGGGATCATTTTATAACTTTTAATAATTGAGTGATTCAATAAAATAATATTCTATAGTCGAGAGACTATTTGTGTATTTTACCATTTTATTATTTATATAATTTCATTTGGATTAATTTAATATTATGATATTTATTTTAAATTTGAGTGGTAGATTTATCCAACTCATACAACTTTAATTTAAGAAGAAATAATGAGATATAAATGAAATGGTAGGGCTTGCGTATATATATGCAGCAGCCTTAAGGTTACGGGTAAGTTCACTCACTGCTGACGTATGAATCATTAAACACAATCGTTTGCTGTCGTAAGCCGATATCTGAATCTTTGCAGGAACATTGTCCCACAGTCATGCTATGTCTACTTTTGTCTTTTGTAACACACATGGACCTTGGTTCACTTAAATTATTAATTGTTTCAGTTTCTGTTATAAACATTTGGGGCAATTTACACAAAATCATTGCTCAACTTTCCTCTCCCTTCTATTTCGGTTATTAAATTTTAAAACTTATTAATTTCATTACTAAACTTTTAAATTGCTAATGTTTTGGTCATTAAACAAGGTGGACGTGATCAACCACCACACCGACCGTTGTTGTTGGTAATCGTTAGATCATATATATTTTAATCCTCTAATTTGAACGACCTCTATTTCATTTGAATCCCAAAGAAAATTCAGTCTATTAACATTTTCATCAATACAAGAAATCACCACCACTTTCGTTCATCTCATGCATCATACCAGTCACTAAATCATCATCAACATCATTGGCCACTACCACGTAATCGTTCATCTTTACCACCGCTCATTCAAACCTTTCTCAAACCATCAACACCACCACAATCATTAGCTCAACACAACTACCATCAACTCACTACCTTTAACCTAAACCCACTATAGCAAAACTATTCTTTAGCGGCGTTTTTCACGGCATTTGGAGATAAACGCCATAAAAGTGTTACATAAAGCAACGTTTTCAATCAAAACGCCACAAATTGAGACTTTAGCGGCGTTTTTTGTGAAAACGCTATAATAGAGTGAAAATATAGCGGCGTTTTTAACAAAAATGTAGCCATATGATGGTATATAGTGACTTTTTTTCAACAAACGCCGCAATTAAGAATAGTTTTTGCGTCGTTTTTAGAGAAACACCACAGAAGGTTAATCAATAACGGTGTTTATAGTAAAAACGTTGTAATAGAGTAGACATTTAGCGGCGTTTAAGCCCAAACGCCGCAATAGAGTATTAATTTAGTGGCGTTTATACCACAAACACCGTAATAGAGTGGTAAATTAGCGGCATTTATACAACAAACGCCGCAATAGAATGGTAAATTAGAGGCCTTTATATATAAAACGCCGCAATATGGTTGTTTAAGTGGCATTTTTTTGTATAAACGCCGCCAAAAACATGTTATATAGTGGCATTTTTTAAAAACGCCGTAAAATTTTAAATATATTGTCTTCTCTTTTCTCTTACCCAAACCCTAAAATCATTTCAACTCTTCTTCCCCACAGTTTCTTCTATGGTACAACAAAGACCCTCACACGATTCCAAGCGACGTCATCTTTTGTCTATTCGGTGACCAAATCGGCCCTCTCACCGACGAACTATAACACAATTCTACAGTTTGATCCCTCTTATCAGTAATAATCTTTTTCATTTTTTTTGGTTGGTATTCTGAAAATGGGGAAAACCCAGAAATCTAACGTATTTGAGAAAAAAAAAACAGATCTTGCCTTGAGTAAGAGAAATTATCGTCGGAATGTCTTCGTGGCGTTTTGCTCTGACGATGAATCAAATTATCATTGGGAGACTATCGGTCAGGTCTCGCCGTCGAAACTCGATGATGACTCGAAAGGAACTCATATTGCTCCATACCCTTCCATGGCCGATCTCCTACTTGAAGGTAATATTGTATGAATCTTTATGCCACTATATTTCCCTTTTTGTACGCTCACTCAAATTTCATAGATCGTACGCATGTAGGATCTTCGAAGCTTATTGAGAACGATGATAGAGGAATGGATAAATACCCTATGTTTAGAACCGAATTTGGTAACTCTGTGGCGTTGAAAGAAACTTCAATTACAAAAGCAGTATCGATCCTCAATGAAGACGATGTTGCCTCAACTGTTACTCCAAGTAAACATTTATATCATCTATTTAAATTTATTTTAATGTTTGATTCAATTCCCAAGCCACCTCCAATCAAGTTTCATACTGTAGGTGGAGGGTCGTTATCTGTTTCAAGTGAAGCACTGAAGCGCGCAAGGAGTCTTCTTGGTGAACCGGAGGTAGGAGATTTATTTGGTGAAATGGATGAAGAGTATCTGACTATAGAGTTTACACGGAGGAAAAACTTAACGATGCGTTGTCAAACAAGGAAAACAACTTTCCTACGTCCTTTCCCCACGAAGGAGCAATGAAGACTAAATTGTAGTAAACAATATGGTGAAGACTGTTTATGCATAAGTACTTTAATGTTTGTAAATTATAATGTATTTTGTTGTTAAGTAGTTTTATGCATAAATACTTCTGTCTTAATTAAAATGTATGGTTGTAAATTTAGGTTATGTATAGAAGAAATGAAATATTTAAAATATGTTAATCTTATATAAATAAAGGTATTTAGCGGCGTTTGTATCCAAAAACGCCGCTATATATATATCCTTTTGCGGCGTTTATATCCAAAAACACCGCTAATGATAAGTATATTAGCGGCGTTTTGTTACAAACGTCGCAATAGGTGTAATATATAGCGGCGTTTTTGGATACAAACACCACTAAATATTTGTACTTTAATGGCATTATTAAACGCAAACGCCGTAAAAAATAGATATTAGTGGTGTTTATAACAAACGCCGCAATAGGTATACTATATAGTGGCTTTTTCACAAAACGCCTCAATATATTTGAATTTTTACGGTGTTTCTAGACAAAAACACCGCAATATATGTGGACATTAGTTGCATTTATTAAAAAATGCCGCGATAAATTAGTTACAAACACCACAATTTTTATCGTCCCATACCCTTTTGTGGTGTTTGTATTGAAAAACGCAACAATAGCTACATAATTTATGGCGTTTATTTAAAAAATGCCGAATTAGTGTTACTTAAATCCTGCGAGAGCATTTCCCCCCTTGAAATTGAATTCTAAACCTAATTTTATCGAAAACAACTGCTGCTACTCGTCGCTGCTTGAAGGGTCCTTTCATGCTACTGCTCGTCATCACCTACACCGTCGCTGCCCGCCCTGGAAAATTTTAACTCTGTCGAAACTCTACTCTTAATTCATCTTTAAATGTTCCTGCCATTACTGATAAGCACGACTGGCAATCATCATTTTCTTTCAATTCCCTCAACCCTTTCTATCTCTTTTGTTCTTTTCCCTGTCTAACTCCCCCCTTCTCTCTCTGTCATGCTTTGTTTCGCTGTGTAAAGCTTCCATTCCCTTTTCAATCTACTCCTCTTGTTGGGTTTTTTTTACTCTCAAAGCACTCTCTGTGTTTTTCTTTGATTTTTTGGATCTGGTTCCTGCTTGCTTTCGGATTATCATCTTCAACCTCAACACCAGGTAATTATTATTTCTATCTCAAAGCTATGTTTTTTGCTGCTTTACCAAATGGAATTCCATGAGAGCCTAAGCTTAGTCTTAGATGATTTTTTAAGAATTTGTCTTTGATTTGATCTTATTCGAATGCCACCCATGCTAAAATTAGCTCTACGGTTTAAAACGGGACTAAGAATTCGAACGAGAGCTGATAAAGAGAAGATAAAAGGGGGAATTTATAGGTCGTTGGAACTTTGGATTATGAGTCCTTAACGTCTGAACTAGTTAGACAGATTTAACTATTGATACTCTTACCGGTCAGTAGTTGTTTTGGGTCCATAATGAAGAATTTTGTAGATATTTCACCATTTGTTCCAAGAAAAAAAGTAGGAAAGAACAATGAAGCTTCGTGCTCTTCCTTTTTTGGCAATCAGATAAGAGATGTGGGTGGTTTCTGTTAATTATTGATAAAGTGTTTGATGTGGAAATGTAATACAATGATAGATTATGTACACTTGGCATTGGCTTTGTAGAGCAGTGCTAGGCATTCTTCTACCTAATGAATAACTAATATGAATACATGTTCCAAATTTCGAGCCTAATTTTTTACTTTCAAAATCACGTTTATCGTGATCAGATGTGGTGTGATATTTGGTTATTAGAAAACATTGCTTCCAACATAATCAGGAATTTATTGTAATCTATATTCCATAATCTCTTTGAATGATTTTTCATTCAATAAATTTGATTTCATTTTCAATAAAATACCATGAACAGTGTTATATAGTTTTTTTTTCTTTGGATTCTCTTGCTGCAGTAATTTATTTATCTATATAACTAATGGTGACTCAAATTAGCTTTTACAATTTCAATGAGTGATTCATACTACCACTCAAATTAGCTTAACTTTCTGTTGCACCAAATTAGCTTTTAACTTGGTCATGTACACTGTAGTAAATAAAAGCTAATCGCCAGAGCTTTAATGGTGGTCCTTTGCATTGCCGAATCAAGGGAACCTCAGAGCTCACTAAAAAATAACTGGTTTTAAACAGGGAATTTGAACCTATATATTACAATTGGAATGCTAATTAAAATTCATTTGGAAACAAAACTGTCTTTCCATATTATACTTGTATTTATCGACAATGTGATGTCTAATGGTCACCATTTTCCTGTAATTATTATAGCTTTGAATGACCTAAACTTAGATGAATCAGATATAAAAACTTATATATGCTTTCAGTGAAACAAAACCGTGAATCTCATTGCACCATGCTTCAAAAGCGGAGCTATAGATTTCGGTGAATGTGAAATACCGAATATATATATCCATACACATACCTTGGAAATGAATTTCAAGCAAGTATGCTTCAAAAGTTGATGGACATGGATTTCTTAAGATGAAGATAATGTCTGGAGGAGTGATAAGATGAATGGCAAATTATTCCAGGCTGTAAAGAAGATGAGCATAATCTTTGATCTGTACACTGTAGTAAATAAAAGCTAATCGCCAGATTTTTGGCATGCCAATTTAAAAATCTCATTCAAGTTTAGACAATAATTCAATCATTGAATATATTTGAAATGTTGGGAGCTAATTTTGCTGTGAATTGATTGCAGATAATGCTTCAATTCTTTGATCTGTGAATTCAAGAAACCTCCCCTTCTTTTGCGCTATTCAGACTACATCTGGTAAGTAAGAATACCCACCTTTTCCAATGTGTTCTTCCATGGGAATTTCAAAGACAGAGTAGTTTCACATGATGGTTTCTTGTTGAAAAATGATAGCAAAATGTTGGTTTTACTCGTTTACAATAGTTTGTCATAGTTAACTTTGCTGCTTGCTTTTGCTCATGATCAGCTATTGAAAGATATTATTGAGGGGTTTTAGATTTAATTCTTGCTAAGAAGAAAGATTCAAAAGTTGTACACTATGTGTAAATCAAAAGTAAGTAGCTTAATCATCATACAGAGAATCATTCAGTTCATATACACTTGAACGAATTTCATTTTAAAATGGCATTGTTTGAAGTGTCCGGTATATGCATTTTGACTCTAAGAAACAGAGTTTATAAGTTTATATATATATATATATATATATAAAAGTTTATAAGTTGAATTCAAAAACCTTTACTAATCCCATGAATGTTGATAACTTTTGAAATGCCCAGTGTTTCCTCGTATCTTACTAACAATTGTTTCTTTTCTTTGTTTATTTTCGCTGCAGGCTTCTCAGACTCTCCGCATCATCACATTCTATTCTACTCAGCTGCCAGGACCAAATTATCATTGGCGAGAGGTATAGTCTTGAAGGATATAAAGGATTGCAGTTGAAATTATGTTTACTTGTTTAATTTTAGGATCATTTAGTAAAAAATTCTGCTTTTTGCACTTTTGTAGGGTTCAAAGCTTGCGAGGCTGCCAAAATCGCATACTGCGTTAGAAGTACTCTTAATTAATTGTATGTATTCGTGTTTAATTTTCAATTTGTTAATGTTAGTTCTGTACTATGTTTGATTTGCATTTGTGTTTGTGAATTTAGGATTTTTATTTATTTGAACCAGTGAATACTACATTTGTGGACCTTTTGTTTGGTATTTCTCTAATATTTTTTTCTTGAGCCGTTGCCATTTAGAGAGTTTTAGGGAACATTACCCAGGTTTGTTTCTTTGAACCTTGTTTCTTTGAATAATTTGAATCTTGTTTTTTATTTGGTTGATTGTAAAATATAAAATTTAATAAAGTAACGGTGTGACTGGGTTGATGTAAACAGATGTATAAAAAGAGATAAATTCGGGTTTTCAATGGTGAATTTCTCTCGATTATACTTGTATTTATCGACAATGTGATGTCTAATGGTCACCATTTTCCTGTAATCATTATAGCTTTGAATGACCTAAACTTAGATGAATCAGATATAAAAACTTATATATGCTTTCAGTGAAACAAAACCGTGAATCTCATTGCACCATGCTTCAAAAGAGGAGCTATAGATTTCGGTGAATGTGAAATACCGAATATATATATCCATACACATACCTTGGAAATGAATTTCAAGCAAGTATGCTTCAAAAGTTGATGGACATGGATTTCTTAAGATGAAGATAACGTCTGGAGGAGTGATAAGATGAATGGCAAATTATTCCAGGCTGTAAAGAAGATGAGCAGAATCTTTGATCTGTACACTGTAGTAAATAAAAGCTAATCGCCAGATTTTTGGCATGCCAATTTAAAAATCTCATTCAAGCTTAGACAATAATTCAATCATTGAATATATTTGAAATGTTGGGAGCTAATTTTTCTGTGAATTGATTGCAGATAATGCTCCAATTCTTCGATCTGTGAATTCAAGAAACCTCCCCTTCTTTTGCGCTATTCAGACTCCATCTGGTAAGTAAGAATACCCACCTTTTCCAATGTGTTCTTCCATGGGAATTTCAAAGACAGAGTAGTTTCACATGATGGTTTCTTGTTGAAAAATGATAGAAAAATGTTGGTTTTACTAATACTAAGCAAAATGTTGGTTTTACTCGTTTACAATAGTCTGTCATAGTTAACTTTGCTGCTTGTTTTTGCTCATGATCAGCTATTGAAAGATATTATTGAGGGGTTTTAGATTTAATTCTTGCTAAGAAGAAAGATTCAAAAGTTGTACACTATGTGTAAATCAAAAGTATGTAGCTTAATCATCATACAGAGAATCATTCAGTTCATATACACTTGAACGAATTTCATTTTAAAATGGCATTGTTTGAAGTGTCTGGTATATGCATTTTGACTCTAAGAAACAGAGTTTATAAGTTTATATATATATATATATATATATAAGTTTATAAGTTGAATTCAAAAACCTTTACTAATCCCATGAATGTTGATAACTTTTGAAATGCCCTGTGTTTCCTCGTATCTTACTCACAATTGTTTCTTTTCTTTGTTTATTTTCGCTGCAGGCTTCTCAGACTCTCCGCATCATCACATTCTATTCTACTCAACTGCCAGGACCAAATTATCATTAGCGAGAGGTATAGTCTTGAAGGATATAAAGGATTGGAGTTGAATTTATGTTTACTTGTTTAATTTTAGGATCATTTAGTAAAAAATTCTGCTTTTTGCACTTTTGTAGGGTTCAAAGCTTGCGAGGCTGCCAAAATCGCATACTGCGTTAGAAGTACTCTTAATTAATTGTATGTATTCGTGTTTAATTTTCAATTTGTTAATGTTAGTTCTGTACTATGTTTGATTTGCATTTGTGTTTGTGAATTTAGGATTTTTATTTATTTGAACCAGTGAATACTACATTTGTGGACCTTTTGTTTGGCATTTCTCTACTATTTTTTTCTTGAGCCGTTGCCATTTAGAGAGTTTTAGGGAACATTACCCAGGTTTGTTTCTTTGAACCTTGTTTCTTTGAATAATTTGAATCTTGTTTTTTATTTGGTTGATTGTAAAATATAAAATTTAATAAAGTAACGATGTGACTGGGTTGATGTAAACAGATGTATAAAAAGAGATAAATTCGGGTTTTCAATGGTGAATTTCTCTCGATTAATTCACGCGGGTCAACGTTTGATGGATGAACCATATGTATTTTCCTCTCAAGTAAAACAAGAATTTTATTATCACGATCCAATGGATGACGGTTGGTATGTTGTGCTTCGAAATACTCCCAGAGACTTGATAGACATCGGGGATAGAAGTAGAGATGACATTGAAACAAGATCAGAATGTTTACCTCTACTACCACAAAACTTAGATGAAACTATACTAATACAACACAATTTCAATGGGTTCGGGAGGATGTTGATGAAGATATTTATAACAACTGACATTATATAAGACTGTTGTACGATTTTATATCTTCATTTATTTATTTATTTATAATGTTATTAGCTTTAACATGTTGTCTTTCAATATATTCATTAATTAAATCATTTTTTATTACTCATGTTTGTTTATTACATATATAATGCCGAGGAGAAAAATAACTGATTTACGGGTTGTTCGAGCTTCTGAAGACCATGAAGAAAGAAATAACGAGGAATCAAATGCACCTGAGTCTTCCGAAGTTCCTGAAACTGTTGAAGAAGTAGAAATTCAAGGTAATCTTCAAAATTTTATTTACTACTTTGTTTATTTTCAAAACTAACATTTAATAATTTCTTATATAGTTGAAAATGCTGAAACGCGCAAGACTCGAGGATGTACAACTTTGAAGGAATTATACCAACTTCCTCATGGGCATCGTGTCAAAGTTTCAAGAAACGATGCCGGTCAACCTATTGGCCCAGAATCACGTCTTCTAGCAGGTTACTTAGGCATAGTTGGACGTAATGCGAAACTGTTACCGATTAATTATGAGTCATGGAGCGAAATGCCTAATAGTAACAAAAATCAAGCGTTGGATTTTGTCAAGGTAATAATGTCATTATAATAATACTCTATAGAAATTCAATACTAATTTATACTTACGGTGCACACTTATTTGCTGTATAGGAGAAATTTTTTTAGAGGTCTCTGACGATTATGTGAAGCAAGCGTTAGGGAAGAGATGAAGGGACCATAAGAGCTCCTTAAAGAAGAAATACTTCAAGAATGATCTCAGCCTTGAAGATAAGTTACAAACAGTCCCACCAGGAATGCTCAGGTACCAATGGGAAGATGCAGTCAGATTTTGGAGTTCCCAAAAAGGACAGGTATGTTGTATTTTTTATAAATAGTTGTAACGAAATTTAAATCATCATTAAAAGTGGTTGTTTGACATTGTAGGACCGAGAACATGTTGGTGTTGCTAGCAGGCAACAACAAAAGTTTACGCACACGGCTAGATCGAAGAGCTTTGCTTGTATATCTCATGAGGAGGTATTATAGATTATTGAAATAGTTTTTTGTATTCCATGTACATACTAACTCATAGTAATTACATTATGGTACATTGTAGGAAAATACATCCGGTTCTAAAGTTGGTCGAATCCAACTCTTCGACATGACACATACGAAGAAGGATGGCACTCATATGACTACTGACGCTGCAGAAATTATGGTACGTTTATTGGGTAGATGTTTTAAATTTACCTGACTTTATTTATATTTGTACCATGACATTTTTTATTTTAATTAATTATTCACTTTATTATTAGGAAAAATTGAGGGAGAAAAGGGCGGAGTATCATGCTACTGCTTCGAGTCAAGGTATTGTTAATGATGATTACATTGAAAACCAAGCTATTAATGACGTTTTGGGTCCTGAAAGATATGGACGGGTACGCTATCAAGGATCATTTGTTACTCCCACCAAATATTTTGGATCCAGTTCATCACAGTACATGTCATCACAGTCTCGATCTTTCCAATTAGAAGTTGGTCGTTTAAAAGAAAAGTTGGCTGAGATGGATCAACAAATGGCTAACTTGAAAGCGGAAAATGAAGCAAGGGAAGCAGCCAGAGCAGCAGCGGAAGTAGAGAGAGAAGCAGTGGCAGTACAAAGAGAGGCAGCGACAGCACAAAGAGAAGCAACATATCAGCAGAGATGTGAAGAATTTGAAAAAAACAACTCAATGATATGATGCTGATGATACAGAAAACGCAACCTCAGAATCCACCATCGTAGACTCATTTATGTTGTGAGCATTATGTTAATGTTACAGGACCGTGTTTAACTGAACTTATATTACGTTAATAAAATTTTTTTATTATATTGGATTTGATGTTGCTTGTTATGGATATAGATTTTGGTGTTATTGTTGTTTTGTTTGTTGGATAATGGAACAGGTTGAAAAAATAAATTTGGGGTATTAAGCATAATTTTTAGAACTGTTAAATTTTGTGTTATTTAGCGGCGTTTGTATCCTGAAAACGCCGCTATATACTGACTTTTAGCGGTGTTTGTATCCTAAAAACGCCTCTATATACTGACCTTTAGCGGCGTTTTTCATAAAAACGCCGCGAAATCGCAACACCTATTGCGGCGTTTACGATAAAAACGCCGCTAAACATCAACATCTACTACGGCATTTGTGGGAAAAACGCCGCTAAACATCAACATCTACTGCGGCGTTTGTGGGAAAAACGCCGCTAAAAATCAACACCTACTGTGGCGTTTGTGAAAAAAGCGTCGCAAAACATCAACACCTATTGCGGCGTTTGTCTGCCAGACGCCGCTAAATATCAACATCTATTACGGCGTTTGTCTGTCAAACGCCGCTAAATATCAACACCTATTGCGGGTTTTTTGTTAAAAACGCCGCGAACTTTAGCGGCGCTTGTTATAACGCCGCAGATGTTTTTAGCGGCGCTTAAAAAAGCCGTTGTAAGTAAAAAAAACGCCGCAACAAGCCAGTTTTGTTGTAGTGACCAAACCATACTCGAACCTTAATTCCCCAAAAAAAACCCAACTGAACCTTCCATTCATCATCACTTAGCCATCTTCATCAACCAATAATCACCATCATCTCACCAATATGCCTTCTCCTGAAACATCCAACAATCTTTACTTAAGACCCTCGTAAACTTTATCCGAACTGAAACTCAAACCTACACAAAAATCAAATAGAAAAGAAAAAACTTAAAATAAAAGAAAGACAATGAGAGAGAAGAAAACAAAAAAGAGAGATGTTTATTGTCTTTAGCTTTCTAGAGTCTCAAAGCTTAGGGCCTCAATCATGAATCCGAGTGATGAAGAATCGAAGGATATCATGGAGAAAAATGTAGTTTAGGTAGGGACCCAATGGATAATCAATGGTGACATATACACCATTTTGGATTTGATTTTCAAGTGGAGTATTAGTGGATCTCATGATTAATGCCTCCATTCAAAGATTACAATTGTAGAGACTCCCCTCTTAGGACATGGAGCAACATATCCCTATTTGTGCTCCAACCAACGACGAACAATAAAAATTAGAGAATAAGGAACCAAAGGTTCAATGTCAGATTCGTAGAATTTGAGGTTTTATCCGATAGAACGAAAATCATATTCGGGTTTAAGATGACAAAACTAGTTTGGTGAAAAATTTTGGGACTTCTGAACAATCGTCAATGATGACTAATTGTGGTTGGTGTTGTGGTTGATTGCGACAAGCGATGGGTAAATCTAGGCAAATTGAGAGAAAAAAAGATGAAAAAGAAATAAGAAAAGAGTAAAATGAAGGAACATAAAAATGGGTTTTATAGGATTTAAAACGATGTATTTTTGGTGTAAATTTGACCTTTCCAAAACAACTCTGTTTTGGTGTCTTCTGTCATGTCATAATGTTATTTATTATTTAACGAAAAAGTTATCAAAACATAAGTAATTTGAAAGTTAAGTAACAAAATTGAAATTTTTTAAAGTTTAATTACCAAAATAGGAGTGAAAATAAAGTGTAGTGATGATTTGTATAATTTGTCCATAAATTTAAAGGATAGCCTGCATAAGATTGTCACTCTATTTGTTTCCTGTGATTTAAAACTACGGTGTACCCGGTTCTTGTAAAGACCAATCAGACTATTTACTCCCCCCACCCCCTCAGGCCTCAAATTCCTTCAACTGTTTGGCAGGGTATCTTTAAATAGTTCAATCGTCCGAAATTGTCCTTTAATACTCAGCTAGATTTGCTCTGGAGTTGGGCCTGAATCGAATTTTTCTATATCGGTCTGGTTGAACCAAAGTCATTGCTTGTTAAAAAATAAGGTTGAAATATATTTATGATGATTGAATTTTTAAGACGTTTGCACTTTAGTTGCCAAAATAAAAAGAATATCATTGCAATAAGATTTGTTTAGAAAAGCATGATAGGCAGATGAATACATGTATTGTTAATATGTTTTGAATGCTTGATATGTTATGTATAGGTACATTAGTAAATGAACTTGGTAAATCGTGTAAATATGCTAAATGATTAATATTTAGATGTTAATTAACATGTTTAGGAAATGATATGGTAAACTCTTGTATGTGCTCTGTATGTTGGACGAATATTTATACTAAATTTTAATTATATATGTTTTTAGAGTTTGAACTATGCTTTTAAGAGTTTTTGAAGGTTATAAGAAAGGTTAATTTGACATTTTGAGTTTTAAAACTCAACAATATAATATCGATACCAAATTCCAGTAAAATTTTCTGGGTATTGAAACCATGCTTTGAGTTTCGAAACCCAGATAATTGGTGTCAAAAGCACCTAGCTTGTTTTGATTCTAGCAACCCCAAAAGTTGCAAAATTAATGTTTTAGTCCATTTCTATGATTTGTTATGAAATACACCCTCATATTTAATATGTTTTACAAAGAGGTCCTCGAAATGATAAATGATAATTGAGTGATAATCTTAGTTAGATTAGACCTGATTTTTAACTAAGTTAGATTAGAGGTGTTACACTTACTATGAAGTACGCGATGACAAATCTGGACTTTTTTTTATCCTTTGATTAAAAGGTTAAGTACAAAAAATGGTTCATGATTAATCAGGGGACAAACTTTGAGTCAGTTGATTTAGTAATTTGTGGTGGATACCCAACTTAATCTTCTAGGTTCCATGTAATCAAACCTTTTATTTGCTCTTAATGAATTCATAGCTTAGAATTTTAGTGGTCCTATTGAGACGGATTTGATAAATTCATCAAATTGAAAGAAAGAGCTATTAAATACTCTTAATGAATTCATATCTCGAGATTAATTTTCTTTTATAAAGGACATTTGTTTGTTTTTTTCTATTGCGCTTACCGGTATCTCAAAGTATATTGTTGCAGTATTTTCAAAGCAAGTAAACCCGACTTAACCAAGAAAAGGAAATAATTACCACCAAACATTAACAACTTAAATAAAAAGAACCCCACTGTTTTACTATTACATTTAAGAGTTTAGTGCATGTTGATGTTCCGGTTGAATTCTTTGCTGCTTCAGCCACACGTAAACTGGTTCTGTACTTGCGCACTTTTAGTTAATAGCTGTGAGTGGAAGTCTGGAATCCTTCAATGGTGGAGCTGTTGATGTTGCTTCATATTCCCCCAGTGTGTGTTTTATATCTCCATTGCCTAATTTTGCTGTTTTTGCTTCCCAAAGCACCTTCAATAATTCCTCAAATGGAGGAGTTTTGAGTTCCTCGATCGATGACATGCTCGGTAGGTTAAATGCCCTCTTCCTCGGTGTACACAATGGATTGTCCACCTGTGATTACAAGTTACCAACCAAAATGAAAAAGGGGTTTTATCAAAATTTGAAAATGCCATTATTCTATACTATCTTACCATGTATTCCTCCTCCAGACATTTCCCTGCATTCTCTGAGATTTCTACTATCTTGTGGTAATGACCACCCTTCAGTTCCCTCAATTCCTCACAACAAGGAATGATCATGGAATTCATGTTCCCACATGCTTCGTGATCAAGTTGTAATGAATCTGGCAGCATTTTTGTTCATCAGTTCTATTCTTTTTTTTTATGATCGAATTGGGTTGGTTTAGGTTCGTGTTCGAATTAATTGGATAAGGATTTTGGATTCGGATAAGAATTAACAAATCTAGCTTGATATTTTTTATTCATTTATTTTTGAGAATCTAGATACTTACGATCAATGGATGTTAGACAACAGTTGCTTGCAGTGTCTACATCTTCAAGAGCAGTGGACACGGCACCGGAAAATTGATCTCGGGGAATTTGATGGGCTTCCATCCCTCCCCTAAATTGAATAAAGCTAACAAAGATCAGTGATCTATGCCTGAAATTTTCTAAAGCACTTTTGAGAAAATAAAGCTTACCTAACAATGGAATCCACGGAATCAACATTTCTCTTTTCTAAACTGAGAAGGGATTCCTGAGCATTCCTCCATTGTTGAGCACTCATCTTTGCTTTCTTCATGCTGTAACAAGAGTTTTGTAGGATGTTCAGTGCATACTAAAAAAATAACATTCGAAGCGGGAAATTGATGCCAGGGAAGAAAACCCAAGCAGCATGACTCTTGGCAGGTAGTTTCGGATTTGGTTGTATGGTTGACCAAAGGTAGAACGATAAACCATATGGTTTTTTGTCTTGCCTATAGAACTTGTATATATGTATATACATGATCCGGCAGGAATGCAATGGAAGACTTCAGGGAAGAATGGCTTGATCGCCAGTGGAGCTATTTCGGTTGATCACTCGAGCAACTAGGGATAGATCAATCAACTTAACGCCTTTTTTATGGTTGATTGGGGAATAGGTACTTGAGTGCAATGTAGAATGGCTACGTACTCTATTAGAGTGGAGTGGGTTTGTAACCCTTATCAAGCTTTGCAGCAAAACTTTGTTTTATATAAATAAGATTTTACTTATCCAGAAAAAAAAGAGAGAGAGAAGAGAAAACAACCCATACCAGTTTTCAAGAACCTCTTGCATATCTTTCTTTTCGCTTTCTACAGCAGATGTATCTTCAATGTAATGAGATTCTGTGGTTCCCATGTGAACATTCCACTCCGTTTTAACAACAGTAGTGGACTCTTTCATGGTAGACATTTCTTTCTGCAGCTCACTTGTTTTGCTGGACGCATTATCCCGGAGATCATGGACAGCCATTTGGACCTAAAAAGAACAAAAAAAATCCCAAAATAGTTATCAAGAACGCGCAGCTCATATGAATGTTGAAATTAGCAGTTATATGTAGGTACCAATTTTTTCTTCCTAGCAATTGAAGCTGCAAGCAATTCTGCCACCTTTTGCAGCATTTGCTTCTCTTCATTAGCGGCACATTCCTACACGTATTATAGATTTGAATTGAACTTAATGGTTACCGGCTTTAAGAAAAGCAAATTTGTCTGAATTAAGAACTATTATGTACCTCGAACTTCTTTTCAAATTCAGTCAATTTGTTGTCATTCATTATTTGTGCTTCTTCCGCAATTTTGGTCAGCTTGGATGCATGCATGTCTAAAGTCTCGAAGAAATTCACAGTTGTTTTAGAAATTGACCTTGCATTGTCTACTGCCCTGGAGTGCGCCTGTAGATGAAATAGAAAGAACTGAGTCCATTACCAACACTTCTCAATTACTTATTAGCTGAGACACAAAGCAAAAAGCTATAAACCTCGTACTGTTGTCGTGTAAATGCAGTTAGCTTCTCCTCTTGCTTGTAAAGACTACTTTGAAGGCATTCAAGTAACGCTTCAGCCTCAGAAGTAATTCTTTTGAACAACTGAACCATGTAAATATCATCATAAGCAGCAGAAGTAGAAAAGAAAGGTTTGCTTAAAAACTTAACTATCGGAATACAGCTTACATCTTCCACGTCATGCAAGTGCTTAGAAACTTCAGAATTTAGATCACCCAAAGTTGAAACAAAATTTCCATTAAGTTTTGAGGCTATATTGTCCAAAGCTTTGACACCCGAACCATATGTGCTCTTCAATTTCCTTAACCTTCCTCGAAGTTCTTCTGTAGCCTGCAGGTATACAAAGGATAAGCTATTAGAGGCTGTCAATGTAGTCCCCCTGAATACGTTCAAAATGCTGTTGAAACAATACCTCTGATTTTGTCGATACAAAGGAATGCATATCTTCCTCCATGTGTTTGAGTTGCTTCTCCTGTTGAGTCACAGAAGTTGCCACAGTCTTGTGCAAGATATCAAGCTGCTGGGTCAACTGGGACTGGAACTTTCGAATCAGTGCTTTGTTTCCATCCTCAATTTTATCCTTCCTTTCTGAAAACCGAACAACATTCAGAAAACAAAACCTTTATGGAACAAGTCTTTCTATAACAATGCGTACTCAGAAGGATACCAATCTTGGAAAACAAATCTGAGACATCTGATGCAGCATTTTCGAGATCTGCTCGGAGTTCAAAAGCACAGTCAACAAGTGTTTTCTCTGAAATTTTAGCAATGGCCATATTTAGTTTCAGAAACTTATTAAATAAGCGAACATGAATTCGAACTAAAAAGATAAAAGTGAAAGAACAACCATCAAAATGAAGATAATGAAAAGGAAAAAAGTTCTCATACTAGATAAGTTGCCGAAGCAACCTCCAACTCACCAGATTTAAGGAGATTGGATATTAAAAATTCCTTCTCTTTAATAGTTGCATTTGCTTTTCTGTGTTTATCTTCAAGATCAAACAATGCATATTCTGTTTCCTCAAGCTTTTTCTGGAAGCAAAATAATAATAATAATAATAATAATAATAATAAGAGAGAGCCTAATATAGCATTTGTAAGTTGATCATCAAAAACTGTAATACCTCTTTCTTTTCAAGTTTCTCACTTAAATCTGCAGTCAACAGCTGCTGTGAATTGTAGAGTTCCTGGAGCTCGGTAATTTGCTGCAGAAAGATAAACAAAGAATACTTAGCTTGACAGCTAAAAGGGGTAATTTTGAAGAAACGTACCTTCTCCTTGGATACTGATTCAAGTTCCATGCGCTCAATTTTTTCAGCCATATCCTGAGGTAAAAGTCAATATTTCTTAGTAATCTAATAAATCCATCCTCCATGAAACTTGGGACAAACAATTCTACCAGTCAACCATATGGTTTGAATCCAACCTTCTTCTCAGCTTCATCCTGGAGAAAACGATCTCGTGGAATGTAAATTCCATTTTTTTCTCTTGCAGAGTACACCTCTAATTAAACATAAAAAATAGGAAGCAAAAAGCACCACTTATAAGACCCAGTTGATGATATAATTTTCTGGGCAAACATTTTAAGGAAAAGCCAACTACCTTGCTTCAGCCGATCAATCTCAGAATATAAATCTTTTATTAAAGCAGACTTCATCATCTTCTGGTTAATCTGTAATAGTAACAAATTCCAATTATTTCATCATGTTGTGAAGAGAACAAATATTTAGGTTTTGTATGAAAGAGAAATGAGACATGATTCAGCTTTATAATATGAGAGTATTAGCAATAAAAAGCTCGAAAGGTGATTTGTAAGACTAATCCACTGACCTCTGGTTTGTTCTTGATATTCTTGGCACGATGTGCATAATCTAAAGTGCTGAGTGTCTCTTCCAGACAATGGATGGATGGTGATATGGTGGCAATAATACATGTTTTTGTTTTTCCTCCCAAGGAATCCCTCAATAGCCTTGTTAGTTTGCTATCTCTGCCATTTGCAAATATATATACATATATTATTTATCCAAACAAAAACAAGATGCTATGGAGAAACTCTCATCTGTGGATAATCCATACCTATAAGGTACATGACCAGAATGCTCAACCAGTGCATTGATTACACGACCAAGAGTGAGCAAGCTTTTATTAATCTCTCCAGCTTCCCTGGCTCTGCCCTGTAAGAGTCAATGAACTTAGGATCAATACTTAAAAGGTTTAAATATCCTAACATAGACAACACCAAATCACAGTCTTAATAGAAAGTGCAACATAGAGAAAATTTTCATTTGACTACATAAGACTCATAGCACAGACATCTAACACATTCACTCCACAGTCATCCTACACATTTGGCAAAGCAAACATCACACTCAGGATGGTGGTAATAAAATACCTCTCTTGCACCAGAACGTGAAATATTCTCAGAACCAGCAAGATCGACAAGATTTAGCTTCCCACATTTAATCATCTCTTCCCCCTCTGGAGTACACTCCTTAATATGGATTGTAATTGAAAATATAGAATGAGAGCGACTACTTTGTTTATTAAGTAGAGTTTCAGCTGTACGCCTTTTAGCAGAGCCTTTTTCCAAAATTTTGTAAATTTCATTAGCAGTTGTTACAATCTCTTCTTCCAAGCCTCTGACAAAAACTCCCCCTTTTCCATCTTCCATTAGAGCAATGGGTTTCTTAGTTTTATCGTCAACGAATTTTGTAGTTTCCTCTGGTGCCAGAAGATCTGTTATTTCCTCATTGTAAAGCTCTAGAAATGTGACCTTCATACTATATTCAGCATTCTGAGCTTGTAATATATCAAAAATTTGTTTAACAGCTCTTGGAATAACACCTGCATCACTTGGGAATTCCCCATTCTGCATAGAATCACAAGTTCATTTAGAACTGAAAGCAATCAAAGGATCATGAACCTCAGAATGAAAACTTGTGATATTGAAAACCATATACTCTATATAAATTACTTAAATTCAATATGATTATATATTTGAAAAACAAAAACATGAACCTCAAACTTACAATAAGAATTTCAAATTCACAACTAAATAGGCATAAAAATCAATAAATTTGAAAAATAATAATGAATGTATATGTTTTACCACACAAATTATACTAGTTTTTAAATGCAAGTTCCGAAATGCAACCTTAACAACTATAAAAAAAAACGCACCTTCTTCCTTGCTTCTCCCTCCATTGTGTATGTCTTTCCAGTTCCTGTCTGGCCATATGCAAAGATAGTGCAATTATAACCCTCAAGAACTTCATTCACAATTGGGGACACAGCTAGATCAAATAACTCCTTTTGCTGAGACGATGGACCAAAGACCTAAAAAAAACAATCTCCAACACTAAATTGACCCATAAATTTTCAAATCCTTTTTTTTCCTTTTCAAAACCAAAAAAAAAAAAAAATCAACTTTGAAATCCATCAACATTTCCTCAAGAACCAAATAATAATTTTTTTAAGAAAAAGAACACACAAATTTAACCTCCTTTTATTAAAAAACTGAATTTATAACAAAATTGCAACCTTGTCAAATAGAAAGGTCCTATCAATTTGCTTATTAGCAATACTCTGTACAGCACAAACTTCTCTTCTAGTTTCATTACACGATATCACCACCGGAGTATTTATTCTCGCTTCATCTTCACTCAGTGGCCTACAAGTGGGGAAAATTGTCATTATTGATTTTATACATTTAACTAAACACTAACTGGAAAATAAAAAGAAGAGAAAACTGACCTGCAACGTAAAATAACCTGAACGTTAACGCCTTTATCTTTATCATTTTTGGAGCTTGAATTGGAATCGACTGATCGTAGATCTCGCACTGATTTGTCGTTTGAGCGTGGCGTTTGCGATGGAGATAGCGATACCAATCCTCCTCCTCTTCTTTGCTGCTGTGTAGATTCCATTGCAGATAACTCTAACGACTCTGCGATTCAAAGCTGCGTAACTACACTGAGCAAACTCGGATTCAGTGAAAATGACGTGGTATTTAGTTCAAGATTTAAATGCATATACGTTTCTTAAATGAATCTAAAACTTTGAAGTAAATTCGCTGACAGAAGAAAAGCTGAAACTCAGTGAGTCAACACCAAACCAATGTATCATTAACTCAGTCACAGAAGATCAAATTTTTGAATACATAGAAAGAAAGAAAGAAAAAAGGAGTAAACTATACACAGAATTGGAAGAAAATGATATTTTACCTCTTCAGAGTAAAAAAACAAAAAACAAAAACGTGATTGAAAATTTGCATACAGATTTGGATCGGAATAAAAAGATTTAGAGTTTCTAAATATTAAACAAAAAGAATCGGCGATGAATATCGATTAGAAGGAAACTTACAGTGTAAATAAATGCCGGCCAGTTAAAAGGAAATTCAAATGGCAACTATAAGCTGAGAGTTTTAACTTTTAAGTGTAGAGTGAGAGAGAGAGAGATTGAGAGAGCCCGGAGCTTTTGGTTTGGTTTTGACGGAGTTAATGTGGATAAACAGTGAAGGGACGGCGACGAAGTTTGGGGAAGGTTAGATTAACGGCGTTAAAAAAGCTCCGTACATCGTAATATCCGACCGTTATAAATGGAAACAAAAGGCTAAAAGCCAACGAGATAATAGGAATCCTCTTGAAATATATGAAAGAATGTGTAGATATATATATTGGGTTTATAATTAGGATTATAATACGATGATGAAATTCATTTAAAATGGATCATGGAATAATTATGATATTAGTTTGTTTTATATTATTGAGAAAAAATTATATTTTCTAATTTATGATTATTCATGATCTTTTAATAGTTCATTATAATGTTAGATTTTATCTCTTTTTTAATAAAACTAATTATTTCTATTTGTATAAAAAAATTAGTATTGTATTGAGTATAAATATACCTTAAGAATAAACAAAATTTAACTGACGGTTTAATGAACGACATTTCAAAGATTCGTTTAGAAATAATTAAAATAATTATACAAGTTTTAATATTTTAAAATCATTATTTATTTTTATATAGTGCAAATTTAGAATAATAAAACTACAATAATATCTATAGAATAACTCTTAAAATATTTAATTAAGATAGCTTACATTATCTTTCATGTGTATATGTGAAATGTACATTATCTATAAGAAAAATCTAACATCATCTATAGAGGTGATAATAATATTTAAATATTAATATTTATGATAAAACGAGCAAAAAGGCAACAAAGTAAGGGTTCGTTTGTTTTACGTAAAATATTTTTCGAAAATATTTTCCTCAATTTTCAGTGTTTGGTTGGAGGAAAATAAATTAGTCAATGTAAAACATTTTCCTGGTCAAAAAAATTTCCTTTGCATTTTTGAAAAATGACTTACAATTTAATTTTCCGTATATCATTTTCAAACTTTTTGCTTCAAAGCATAAATACTCAAAATAATATTATTTTATAAATTTAATATTAATATGATATTTTAGTATATTTTAATAAAAATATTAATTATTAACATATTTAAAATATATTTATTAATATTTTTAATAATATATAATAATAATAATAATACACTAATATACTCAATTATATTATAATAATATATGATACTATTATATTCTTATTATATAATAAATTATTAATAAAAGTTATATTATTTATTAATTTCTTAAAAATAATATTATTGAATTATTAATAGTAAATATTTTTATTTATGTATTTAATATTAATATAATAGTCTAATAATATTATAAAAATTCCTTAAAATATATTTACTAATAAATTTAAAATATAATATTTTTATTTTTATAGATATTCAATATAATTTATCATATTTTTTAATAGAATATACTAGAGTTAATATTTTTATTTATAAAATTATAGAAATAATATTTTAATAATAATATTGGCATAAATAGTATTAAATTATTCTAATATTTTTAAAATAATAATATTAATTTTTTATAATAAATAATATTATTTATTATATTTTATATTTACAATAAATAATTTCTAAAAAAATTATCAACTAGTAAAAAATGGTTTACACAACATATTCCAAACAATATAAAATATTTTTCAGAAAATGTTTTCCAGAAGATGTAATTCATTTTACGGAAAACATTTTCTAGAAAACATTTTCAGTGAAACAAACGGATAAAAGTGAAGTTGTATAGGATTTTAACGTAATTGTCGTTCACTTTCATAGTATTATTAGAATCATTTTTTAATGATGATAAATATTATTATACTAATATCTTTTATATTTTTAAATAATTAAAAACATTATTTAATTTAATTAATTTTTAAACAATAATATTTTTAAATAAACTCTTTTATCACTTCACTAGTAATCATTTGTCTAATAATATTTTTACAAATAATATTTTTATCATAAATAGTTTCCTACATAATAATTACGATGTAATCCATTATTATTAATTATATTAATAAAAATTAAAATCTTATGCTAACAAACAAATTTTCTTTAATTAAAGGAGTTTTTGATGGTATTAAGATTTTGGGGGAGAGGAAAGTTGGGAGCCACTTAGAACCAATGAGAATGGGTCCATTAGAAGATTTTCTCCTTTTTGTTTTTATAATAAGAATATTTTATACTTTGAATTAATCATTTGGTATTCGATCTATTGACCGTCTAATCCAGATTAAGTATGGCAGAGGCAAAGGCGACCCTCCAAACCCAATTTGCTCCATTCACAAATACCAGGATTCGAACCTCTGGCCTTGCTTAAGAAATCTAATGCCTCGTCACACTAGACTAAGTAATTGTTGGTAGAATATTTTATACTTTAATAACCAATTTTGACTTCTAATAATATATATAATTTGGGTAGGATCTATTTACATTGTGTAAAAATAAATAGTTAATCTCAATTATCTATTTCACGCGTGCAATGATCTTAGATATGTATAAAATTTTAAAAAAATACATAATGAAATTAAGTTCCATCCCTATATAATTATTCTTTTTCTTTAATAAAATTCAAGTATGATTTTAACCAACAATCATGAACCTAATAGGAAAACTTTTCTTTATTTTAAAATTTCAATCCCCTGAAATCAACAATTTAAATTTGTGTTTATCCATGTAGATTTATTTATTTTTATTAAGTAGAGATATTATATTTAAGGTAAATAATGAAATTTAAATCTACACAAGACAAGATAATATGAGCATTATTGACCACTCGACTAATTAATGGATCTCAATGTGCGGTAGACTTATCGAATAGAAATTGACATATGGTATTTTTTTAAAATAAAAATCTTCATTTATTTGAGGTATAATAACAAAACTAATCCTCAATGATTCACTATTTTTAATTTTATCCTAAATGTATAAAAATTCAAAAAATATTTATTTTTTAGACTTTATTTTCTTCATAGGTCACACAATGATCGACACATGACACAATAATTTTAAAAATGTTTTTCTTTTGTGCATTTTCTCAAACATTTCCTTTTCATTTCGTCTTCTACGAGTCATCTACAAATGCTTTTTTACCAACTTTTTTTAATTTTCTCAATAAATGTATGTTGAGCTCAAGTTAGATTCTGATTAGTGTAATATATCGTGGTTAATTATTTAAATTAATTAATAATATTATATGCTAAAACATAATAAAATAAATAAAACCACGATATACATACATACATATATATATATATATATTAAAAAAGTATTCCTGGTGTACATCTTAAGTCCTTATTTAAGATTATAAAAAATATACATGCTTTGAAAACCAACATGTTAAGTTGTTAACCTTAAAATGCCGCATTTAATGAAGGGAACATTGTTGTAATTAGAACATTAATTAATCTTAAAAAATATTCATAAGCTACTTCCTTTTTTAAAAGAGTATTAATTGCCTTAACTAAGAGAAATGATTTGAATCCAATTTTATCCTCCTTATCAATTCAATTGAATTTGTTAGTGTTAAGAAAACAAGACTAACTAAATAATATGTAATTTGAATTAATGGTAAAAACACTCTTAGTAAAAATTCAATTAAATCCAAGTGATAAATTTATATCTAATTTAATGTTTATAATTAAAAATTTACTCAATCTAACTCCTCCATTAACTTCAATTGTAACACTCTAATATGGTCCGACCTCAAAATCGAAAGAGTAAAGCATTACGGGACCACCGAAGTGGTTAACCCAAAATTTTCCTTTTCTTTTAAAACGACATCATATTCCACATCAAAATACCATCATTTTAAAACATACACAAAAATATAAGTGTTTAAGTTTGTAAAAGTGGGGAGTTCTCAATACATCTCAAAATAATACATATCAAGTGGTTCCAAATAGAGTTACGACTTAAATACACGGAGGTCTATGAATAGTATATGCCCTCTAAATAAACTCAAGATGTACTCTGGTCCTCGATCGGTCTGGAATACAAACTATGAGATAAGCTCCTCGCGTTCCCCTTAATAACCTGCGCACATAAACAAATTTTGAATGTTGAACTCACAAGCTCATGCCACACTAATAATTGCACTATACTACATGCGTTCATCATATAGTCATGCTAGAAGGCAAAGATATAAGCATACAAGTACGCTAACACACATGTGAGGTAGACATCATGGTGTGGTCGGAGGGTTCACTGCAATTCGAGACTCACACCCCTCTATCCTACCTAGAGTACCCTCAGGTATTTAGGGTGAGATCCATAATTTCTGCGTCATCATAAGTAAATGGGGTATCTGCATCCAGTTAGAAACTAAAGTGCCTTTGCACTAGCTGTAACACCCCCAACCCGTATCCGACCTGGATTCGAGTCCGAGGTGTCACATTGACTTTTCAAAACTTTGTTCTTTACAAATCCACAAAATCTTAAATTCATTATTTCAGAAAATGAGTACTTTACATTAATAAATACAATCAAATTGTTTTACAAAACCGATCAGAGCATATTCAATTCAAATCTTGTAACTACATGCCAACTAAATTTTGTAAAACACAATACATATATTCAAAATGTTTCTGATCTAATCTTCGTAAGGAAAATTTTGACATGTCTTGCTCCTCTTTACTTTCTTCTCACTTTCCAAACCTACTTATGAAACATTCACATGCTAAGTTGATGACTTAGTGAGGCATGAAAACATGTAATATTACTCTACTCATATCAATGCATAAACAATTACTACTATCATATCATATAAAAAACATATATCCTTTCATATAACCAATACACACATATACATATATCATTAACATGCTTATCAGTACTTATATTATTATCACTAATTCCTTTTTATCATATAAGCATATACTGAACATTTCTATACACATAATAGAACACATATATCATTTCACAACATAACACACATAGTATCATACCAATTGGTTTATTTACTCTCTTTAAAGCCTATGTACACTTCTGAGAACTTAAGGTATGTGAGTACATAGAGGTTGTGCACATATGTTGT